GGCCGGGGCCTCCTGCGTCCTCTGTGCTGCCGGCCCTGCCTTTCTCCCATCTGTCCGCTGTTAGACAGGGAGCCCTGGCTGGGGCTGGGTGGCCTGTTTGCCCCCACAGCCGGGTGCCCTCTCCCCGCCAGCCGGGCTTCCCGAACACGGTCTGCGGACACTCCAGCTCTGTTTTGCTGATTAAAACAGATTCATGCCCCTCTCTTTGACCCTGTCCCTCGCCTCCCTGAGCCCATCCCTGGGGTCACCCTTTCCATGGAATTCACCCCCAGCCGGCACTGGGCTCGCCTGCAGAATGCAAAGTGGATGGTAGATGATGCCAGTGACAGAAGGAGGGGAAGAGGGCTGGCCAGCCTGGTCACGGATGTGACATCTTAGCCCAGTGCTCACACTTCTCAGTGCAGGCCACCCGGCAGCTCCCAGTGGCTGACACGGGGCTCCCACCGTGTGGTCAGGATGCTGTGGTGGCTGGTTTGGGGGTGGGGGCCTTCTGGGAGACCCTGGCCCCACGTAGGGCACCTGGTTTGCCAAGGGTGTGCATTTCAACCCCAGAGCTCAGGGCACAGAGAGGGTGAGCCCCAGACAGCCCAGGGGGAGGAGGAGTGAAGGGTGCAGCCAACAGTCTCTCAGGCTCAGAGCGGGCCCAGTGCGGGGCGCTCTAGGCCACATTCGTGGAACGTGCTGGTTCCAGTGCCCCGGGAGAACAGAACCGGCCCAGGAACTGATCGGGTTAAAAGAAAGCCCTGTGATGAAACTGCATGGAATGAAACGCACACGCACACACATGCACGTGCTCACACACACGCGCGCGAGTGCATGTCACACGGGGGAACCCGAGCAGGTTGCTGGCCGGACCCGTGTCCGTTTCCCAGGTGACCCGATACTCTAATTTGCAGGAGGGTTATGCCGGGCCTCTCTGAGTCCTTTCTCTCGACTGCGTGTATCTTTATGATGTGGAAATAAAACGTTGCCTGTGGACGTCCCCCTGTGCGGGCTGCCTCAGGCTGGGCGGCGTGAGCCCCGAGCCCTGCGGCCCTTGTCACAGTAACGGGAGGGATGGCTCGGGGCAGCCTGGTGGACAGAGCGCTAGAGCGCAGGGAGCCGCCCAGCCCCCGGGACGCCGCAGCGGCTCAGGCGGCCGCGGGCCCACACTCTGCTCCGTTACTTAGCAGCCTCCAGACTGTCCCAGAATCGAGGAGGAGGGCGCGTTGGTGTTGCCATGGAGACGATATCTTTGAACCTCCGGGGTTGCTGCACATACCTACGCCCCTTCGTGGGGGAAAACGGGGGCCCCGAGGTCAGCGGCGTGTGAAAGGGGCCCCGCAGGCCCCGGTGACGTCGCCCGGTCCTGGGCACGCGGGGCTTCCCCTCCGGGAGGCTGCTGGGTCGGAAGTGGCCACCGCAGCCCGGGGCTCGCCCCCCTGCAGGCACCACGTGACCTAGAGAAGGTTGATTGCAATTATAACTGCAGCCGCCTTTAAATGAGCTGCTGGTGGGGCAGGCGCAGGCGCTGTGCCGGCGTGATCTTCCTGCCCACAGCCCGCACACTGGCTGTGTTTCTCACGCTCCCTCAGCGGGGGCTCCGGGTTTAAGCAACTTACCCCAGGCCACCCAGGTACCTAGGGGCAGTGCCCCAAATGATGCCATTCGTCATCAGTTCCCCGCCGCCTCCACCGGCACCCGGCGTGGAGCAGGCACGCTGTCCATGGGCGCGTGGTGGGTGGGTGGCCCATCCCCTGCGGCCCCCTCTCCTTCCTGTGCAGCCAAGGCTTCCCCCGCTCCACCCGGGCCGTGCGTTTCCCTCCCACCCACCAAATCAGCTGCTGGGCACGTGGCCCCCAGCTCTGTGCACCTCGGTTTCTCCATCGGCGAAATGGGACCGTCCTCGTGGCCTGCCGTGGGGCTGGTGTGGTGACAGAGGCGGCCGCGCTCACTCCTGTGAACACTGAGGGTGGTCCTGTTACTTGGAGGGGGAGGGAGTGGGCGTGTCCCCCTTCGACAGGGGCCCTCTCGCGGGCGAGGGTTGTCAGGTCGTGGGGGTGCTGGGGTGACCCCGCCCGTCCTGACCCCCGGCTCGTTGCAGGGACGGGCTGCCCTACTGCGAGGCCGACTACCACGCCAAGTTCGGCATCCGCTGTGACGGCTGCGAGAAGTACATCACGGGGCACGTGCTGGAGGTAAGTCCTGCTCCCGGTGGGCACTGGGTTCTACCTGCCCCTGAGGGTCGAAGGGTCCTCAACGGGATGTGTTTGTGCCAGAATCTGTACCTAGAGATTCTGTCCTCCCGGCTGTGGCGGGGGACGCCTGGGAGTGAGCCCCGACCCCCCCGGGCCGCCTCTGAGGGTGGATGCGATGACAGGCGAAGCTCAGACCAGGGCACAGTCACCAGGAACGCCATCCCCGCCATCCTCGCCATCCCCGCCATCCTCGCCATCCCCGCCATCCCTGCCGTTCTCGTTTGCTGGGCTGGGGACCCGTTTCCTTCCGGTGTTTCCCTCTGNCCCCGCCATCCCCGCCATCCCCGCCATCCTCGCCATCCCCGCCATCCTCGCCATCCCCGCCATCCCTGCCGTTCTCGTTTGCTGGGCTGGGGACCGGTTTCCTTCTGGTGTTTCCCTCTCTGTGTAATCACAGCGGACACCAGACCATTTGTACATTACATCCTGATTTTTTTTCAACTCACCTTTCCTTTGTAACAGGGTCCCGTGCTTTTGTTTTTTGTATCATGGGTCTTTTATTTTTACATAAAAAACAACAACAGGCGTTTATTTTCTTAGACCAAAAAAGTAGGTAAGAGGGACTGGAAATGATTGTGAACAGACCTCCGGCTGCATCCGAGCGAAGCCAAGGTGGCGAGCTTCACCCTCGATCAGATGCCCGGTGGGTGAAGCGGCCTCCTGCGCGCGCCCGGGGCGCCTCCAGGAGGCAGGTCACCCAGGAGAGTTTCTCAGCAGAGAAACAGGCTGCGTGGGAACCATCCCACCTCCAAACGCAGCATCCCAGCGAGAAGCGAGGCTGTGGGTGCTGGGGGGAGACGCAGGGGGCGGGAGGGAGGTGCCGAGAAGCGGCTCGGCCTAGAATAGAAGCCTGGGGCCTGAGTTCGCCTCTGCTCCCCTTACAGAAAAGAGGTTTAGGAGCCTCTGTACAGCCAACTGTGTCTTTAGGGTGAAATCACAGAACTTGGCTCCATACCCGGACCCAAGAGAAGTGAGAAGTTGTCACAGGTTTTAAGCAGCAGCAGCAGAAAGACTTTGACAGCAGTTCTTGTGTGTTGGTAGCTCCGCTCCTTTGCAAGTCCGTTCGGAAGCTCGTAATTTGATGGGGCGTGTGGCCCGGAAGGGTCTGCTTTAGCTTCGTGCTCAGTGCTGTTCCTCGAAGGGGACCCGCCTTCGCCAAGATTTCGCTGGGCTGTGACCTGTTTGCGCAGTAAGCCCCCGGGTTGAGCGTTAGGGTCGGCGCCGTGTCACATCTTCTCCTCCAGGGCAGTAACCTGGCCCCTCTTCTGTTTTCCCTCGAGCATCCTAAAGAATTCTTGCTGGCTCGGAGATGGGCGTGTTTGCTGTGGGTTGAGGAACTGATCCCAGAATCTCTCTCCCCCCCACCCTTTATCCCCACCTGAGGGTATGTTTTTACTGATTTTTAGAGAGAGAGAGGAAGGGGGGGAAGAGAGAGAGGGCGAGAAACCATCTGTGGTTGGACGGCACCACCCTCCAGCTTTTGCTGCGAGAAGCAGCACCGAGGCGAGCGTCTTGCGTTATTACATTTCTCCTCCTTGTTAAGGTCGGTGCACAGCCGTACACGCTGAGTCAACCGCCATGAACTTGCAAAGGATTCTCGATACGTGTAAATTGATTTCCGGAACGATTATCCTGATTTACGGTCTTATCAGCAGAACGTGACATTCCCCGTCTCCCAAGGGGATGCGGTCTTGACGGAGCCAGTTTGGTAGGTGGCTGGACCACGAGTTAACCTGACCCCTCCATTCCCAGTGAGGCCGGGCCTTTGGTCGTTTCAGCCGATCGCATTTCTAGTGTTTCGGTCACATTCGTGAACCCCGCCTGCCGACACCTCGGGGCCTCCGTGCGTTCTGCCTGATTTGTGCGGGCCGGTCACAGGGTGAGGCTGGTGACATTTGGTCTTGTATTTGTTTCCCTGGGTCACGATCGTGCCTGACATTTATGCCCACGTCCTCTGAATGTGGACCAGTGATGCATCCTCTCCTGGCACCCGCTGTGACATCTCACCTGGCNCAACGGCCCCCAGAGCTCTGGAGGAGCCCGGCAGGGCCCCGCCCGCCCCGCTGCCCTGCGGTGCAAACCCTGTTTCTCTCTGCTCCCCAACACCGCTCCACACCCGTGCTCTCTCCTGGGGTGCTCCCCTCCCCACGAGGACCTTGTCTTCCACCTGACGGAGGGAAGGCGCCAGATGCACTCAGGAGTGTCCTGGGCTCGCAGTCTGTGAGGTCCCCATCACTACCCTACCCTCATGGGCCTTCTGCGCTGTCCCTCCTCCCACGGCCCCCACCTGCGCTCAGGCCCCTGCCGTTTCCTTCCCTCTCTCGGGCACACACCTCTCTCCAAAAGGCTTTTTATGTCGCTCAACACCCCCATTGAGAAACAAAACCCCACAACCTCACAGGAAACCTCTCGCCTCCCTTCGCAGCCAGGGGATCCCACATGGTGGCCGTCCCCTGGCCCCTCAGCCACCAGCCTCTCTCCTGAGCACCCTGGGCCGTGATCTCCCGCACACCGGGCATTAGGGCCCGAACCCGGGACGCCCCTCACCAGCCCCTCCCTGCCCTCAGGGCCTCCGCGCCCAGCCTCTCCTCCCTGAAGCCTGGCTGACTCACCTTTGTCCTTGGTCTTCTCCTCCTGGGAAATGCAGGTGGCTCAAGGGCTCTACCTGGTCAGCACCAAATTCAGGAAAGACCCCTCCTCACCCGTGCGTACAGCTGTGGTCCCCCCCCCCC